CTGGACAGTATGGGGTGCCAGGGAGGACTATGTACGAGGGGCATGGGGTGATTTGGGGGTTTGTGGAGAGTGTGCAGGAAGCAGGGGGAGGGGGGTGTTGGCCTTGGATTGGAGGGCAGCATATGATAGTGTTGAGAGGGAGGCATTATGGTGGATAATGAAGAGGCAAGGATTTGGGGATGAGATTGTGAGTTGCGTGCAGACATTGTACCATGGGGCAGGTGTCCGGGTGCAGGTGAATGGGAGGGTGGGGGATCGGATCCTGATGGGTAGAAGTCTGAGGCAGGGATGTCCTTTGTCCCAATTACTTTTTGCATGTTTGCAGGACCCATTTTATAGGGCAGTGGAAGTGTGTGTGAAGGGGGAGGTGCAGGGGTGGGTAGGGCGAGGAGTGCCGGGGATTGTGGGTTACGTAGATGACACAACGATTCTCGTGAGGGGGAAGGTTTAGGAGGGGTGGGAGGGATTGTGAATCTGTTTGGAGAGGCTACTGGTATGAGGGTGAATGTGGAGAAGTCTAAGTTTATGGGATTGGGGGATTGGGAGGAGAGGGTGGGAAGGAAAGGTAGTGAGAGGTGGTGTGTTGTGGATCGGGTCAAGATCTGTGGAATTGAGTATATGTAGGATGCACAGCAAGCCAGGATGGTTAATTTGGGGAGTGTCATGGCAATGGTGATTGGTAAGTTGGATGGGTTGTGGCCGGGTCACTTAACACTTCATCAGCGAGTCATTGTAGTAAATGTTTTACTGTATAGTAAAATTTGGCATGTGGCTGCAATGTACCCGTTGTTGTAGTCAGATATTGTGGCATTGTTGAGGAGAGTCTTTAGGTTTATTTGGGGGTCGGGGTGTGATTGGTTGCGGAGGGGGGGGGTTGTTACTCTTCCAGTGCACAAAGGCAGGCTGGGGTTAATTAATTTGCAGGGTAGGATCATGAGTGAGTGTATATGTAAAGAGGGGGTTCATCCGAGTGGGGGGATGTAAAGGTGGTGGGCTGCACTCTTTGTATGAGAACGTCAGGAGATGGTGGGGAGGGAAGGACTTGCATGCGTGTGAGGATACGGGTGCTTTTGTATGCTAGGGATGCAGAACACATGTGGCTGGGGGTTATGGAGAAAGCAGTGGGGGAGAGGGAGGGGGCAATAGTGGAAGGAGTGTATCCGATGTATGCATGGGGGGATATTTGGGGTAGGTTGTGTAGGCTCCGAATACGGCCACGGGAGCGGGAGGTTATGTATGTTCCGGTAACTCCACGGCATCCTGCCATCAGGTGAGGTTCTCCAGGACCAGAGGATTAGGGAAGAGGGCTTGTGTGGGGTTTGTGGGGGAGAGGATACAGGTTTTCATGCAGTGTATTTTTGGGAAAGGTTGGGAGACGTACGGGAGTGGATGGGGAGGGTAGTAAGATAGGTGGGGGGTGGGATTTCGGTTTTGCGGGCATTGAGTTTGGATGTGGGAGGGGTGGGTGTCCCTGTGCAGCGAGCTGTGGTGTACCTCATCGTGGATTTTGTGTTTGTGTCTTGGGCGATGAGGGGTCAGGTGGAGGGGGGGATGCGTAGAAAGGTGTTGGCGGCAACCTTTTATCGTACACTGTGCAGAAATCGGGCTCTTTATGGGATACGGTGGGAGTGGGATTTCCCTGTAAGTTTTGAGACTCTCTGATCGCGGGTTCTATCCCCGCCCGTGGTATGGTTTTTTTTCCCTGTAAGCTATCGTAGTTTGACGGTGGGGGTTCTATTGAACATGTAAGTAAGGGATGGAGGGGGGTCAGGGATGCGGCAGGCTGGTCTCTCCTGGGGGGGGTTGGTGTGTGTGTGTGTGTATGGACGAACCTATTATATGTTAAACACAGAGACATGGTGTATTATGGTGTGTAGGTTGTTAGGGTATTGGGGACGGGGTATAGGTCCTGTTACAGTTTGTAGCGTGTGTATTTAATGTGTTTATTTTTTTTTTTTTTTGGGGGGGACGGGGTATGAGAGATTGTTCTTTTATTGTAAATTCGTCAATTAGGTGACCATGTGTAAGGACTCATGTAAACTGTGTGAGATGTTTAATAAAAATATGGAAAGGTTGTATGCGTGTGAGATGCTTTTCTTATAGGTAATGTGATATGTACAATTGTATATATGTTTATGTGTGTATATGTATGTGAATATGTGTGTATATATGTATATATATGTATTATATATATATTATATATTATATATATTATATATATATATATATATTATATATATGTATGTGTGTGTGTGTGTGTGTGTGTGTGTGTGTGTGTGTGTGTGTGTGTGTGTGTGTATGTGAATGTGTGTGAATATATGGATATAGGAACGAGGTTCCCCTCGTTCTGTAAGCTGTGTGTATACTTGTAATGTCAGTGTTGGTGGCTGTACACCTGCGTACTGAAGATATTCAGTGCAAACATGCAGGTCTATGGTTAATTATTGAGTGTGTTCTTATGCAAATTATATGAGGCAGTTGGTTTACCTTTTCATTGGGGAGGGGGGAGGGGGGGGTTAGTGGGGGTAGGTGGCATGGTGTCTACACTATTGTATGCTGCAACCATTGTATTAGTTGATGATGTATTTGTTTGTGGGTTACTTGTTAGGTCAGCTTTGTGTTATGCATGGTGTCTTTTCTCCATGTTTTGGAGTAGTGTCAGGCTGAGTTAATGTATCATGTGGGGTTCGAACACGTGGATAGGGTAAAGAAATACTCACGTAGGTTGGAAGTACGTATATTACGGATAGTGTGGGTAGCGCCAAACAGCCGTGACCTGCCTCCTTGCTCACTCTCGTCAGACTAACTAACCCCAGTACCCATATGTGAGGGGGTGTTTGAAATACTGCTGTGGTCAGCACAATATGAATACAGACAGTGATTCACGCAGAGACGGTTGGTATTGAGTCATCTACTGGTACACTGGTTACTGGAACTGGTACTACTACTGAGAAATGTTTATAACCACATGCATTCTATCTTTGTGTACCTATCCATGTATGTATATGTATGGGCGGGTTCTAATAACATATCATTAATATGGTGTGTAATGTGTGTGTTTAGGTAGAAGTGGGAATTTTTATTGTATTGTGTTTAAGGTGTAGGTTATTTTCCTTATTATAGTTAATGTTAGGTTGTTCATATGTTTATATGTTTATCGTGAGTGTAATGTTTATCCTTTGTGTGTGTCATATATCAGGGTTGTGATGGGCAATATTTCACCCTTGATCACAGGGTTTCATATTCTTGTTATGTAGTGTATTAAATAAAATATAAAAAAAAGATTACACAATCTCACCTTGGTAACACTGATGATGCCTCTAACCTTGGTAACACTGATCACGCCTCTCACCTTGGTAACACTGATGATACCTCTAACCTTGGTAACACTGATCACGCCTCTCACCTTGGTAACACTGATGATGCCTCTAACCTTGGTAACACTGATGACCTCTCACCTTGGTAACACTGATGACACCCTCACCTTGGTAACACTGATGACGCCTCTCACCTTGGTAACACTGATGACACCTCTCACTATGGTAACACTGACGACACCCTCACCTTGGTAACACTGATGACCTCTCACCTTGGTAACACTGATGACACCCTCACCTTGGTAACACTGATGACACCTCTCACCTTGGGAAAAACTGATGACCCTCTCACCTTGGTAACACTGATGACGCCTCTCACCTTGGTAACACTGATGACACCTCTCACTATGGTAACACTGACGACACCCTCACCTTGGTAACACTGATGACACCCTCACCTTGGTAGCACTGATGACACCCTCACCTTGGTAACACTGATGACACCCTCAACTTGGTAACACTGATGACACCCTCCCCTTGGTAACACTGATGAAACCCTCCCCTTGGTAACACTGATGACTTCTCACCTTGGTAACATTGATGACACAACATCACCTTGGTAACACTGATGACACCCTCACCTTGGTAACACTGATAACCTCTCACCTTGGTAACACTGATGACACCCTCACCTTGGTAACACTGATGACCTCTCACCTTGGTAACACTGATGACACCCTCACCTTGGTAACACTGATAACCTCTCACCTTGGTAACACTGATGACACCCTCACCTTGGTAACACTGATGACGCCTCTCACCTTGGTAACACTGATGACACCTCTCACTATGGTAACACTGACGACACCCTTACCTTGGTAACACTGATGACCTCTCACCTTGGTAACACTGATGACACCCTCACCTTGGTAACACTGATGACACCTCTCACCTTGGTAACACTGATGACACCTCTCACCTTGGTAACACTGATGACGCCTCTCACCTTGGTAACACTGATGACACCTCTCACTATGGTAACACTGACGACACCCTCACCTTGGTAACACTGATGACACCCTCACCTTGGTAGCACTGATGACACCCTCACCTTGGTAACACTGATGACACCCTCAACTTGGTAACACTGATGACACCCTCCCCTTGGTAACACTGATGACACCCTCCCCTTGGTAACACTGATGACTTCTCACCTTGGTAACATTGATGACACAACATCACCTTGGTAACACTGATGACACCCTCACCTTGGTAACACTGATACCCTCACCTTGGTAGCACTGATGACACCCTCACCTTGGTAACATTGATGACTCAACCTCACCTTGGTAACACTGATGACACACCCTCACCTTGGTAACACTGATGACACCCTCACCTTGGTAACACTGATAACCTCTCACCTTGGTAACACTGATGACACCCTCACCTTGGTAACACTGATGACCTCTCACCTTGGTAACACTGATGACACCCTCACCTTGGTAACACTGATAACCTCTCACCTTGGTAACACTGATGACACCCTCACCTTGGTAACACTGATGGCACTCTCACCTTGGTAACACTGATGACACAACCTCACCTTGGTAGCACTGATGACACCTCGCCTTTGTAACACTGATGGCACTCTCACCTTGGTAACACTGATAACACCCTCACCTTGGTAACACTGATAACACCGATGTTCTGGGAGCAGGAAGTAGTGCCATTTCCGGTGCCAATGAGTCCAGCTAGGAGGCAACCCACGCCCTCCACGCCCACCCCGCGGTTAATGGCACTCACGGGTGGGGGCGGCGCCCCTGACAACAACAACAACAGTGCTTTAGTGCCTCTGTCTTGTTATAGACCTATCTATTATGTTATTGACCTACCTGTTATCTTGCTATTGACCTACCTGTTATGTTATTGACCTACCTGTTATCTTGTTATTGACCTACCTGTTATGTTATTGACCTACCTGTTATCTTGCTATTGACCTACCTGTTATGTTATTGACCTACCTGTTATCTTGCTATTGACCTACCTGTTATGTTATTGACCTACCTGTTATCTTGTTGACCTACCTGTTATGTTATTGACCTACCTGTTATCTTGCTATTGACCTACCTGTTATGTTATTGACCTACCTGTTATCTTGCTATTGACCTACCTGTTATGTTATTGACCTACCTGTTATCTTGCTATTGACCTACCTGTTATGTTATTGACCTACATGTTATCTTGTTATAGACCTACCTGTCATCATGTTATTGACGTACCTCTTATCATGTTATTGACCTGTTATCTTGTTATAGACCTACCTGTTATGTTATTGACCTACCTGTTATGTTATTGACCTACCTGTTATGTTATTGACCTACCTGTTATGTTATTGACCTACCTGTTATGTTATTGACCTACCTGTTATGTTATTGACCTACCTGTTATGTTATTGACCTACCTGTTATGTTATTGACCTACCTGTTATGTTATTGACCTACCTGTTATGTTATTGGCCTACCTGTTATGTTATTGACCTACCTGTTATCTTGGCACAGACATAGTAATCACCGATACTCTCTATGATTGAAGCAACAGCGCCACCCAGCATGCCGACCACCCCCGCCGCCCGCACACTCGGCCACCCCCACTGCCCTGTTCAAAAACACATAATAAGTTAAGGTCAGGTAATATAATATGGGATATGATAAGATGTTTGCGGGAATGAAACCTGTGAATACTGCTGGAGAGAAACACAAACAGGATCTTGAGCTCACCAGGATAGGGAATCCTGAACCACGGAGACTTCTGCAGGAGGCCTCGCGTAGCGTCAGCACGGGCTGGAGATCCTTCAGGGAGGAGGTCGTAAGTGGTGAGGATAGCACACAGTGTCCATGACACCAGCACCGCCAGCAGCACCTACAGCAGCAGCCACGCAGAAACAGAAGGCAGTCAGATAGTTAACTAGCCAGGTGATGCAGGTAGGTGACTTACCTACATGCCAGCTGCAGCAGCGGGTGTAAGGAGGCTTGCCTTTACGTCCAGTCCTATCCGAGTATCGAGCCCAGGTACATATGATCGTGAGTCGCACATTATCATTGAGGTTACGTACAAGACTATCTAGACAGTAATGTTAACCACAAAGTGCCAAACACAGGATACATAAACATTTACATATCACCTTACATATTCATGAGACAGAAAAATATGCCTGTCATTTTGCATTTTATCGAAACAGAAAGAACAGATCAGTAATATATAAAGAATGCACAAGTAACCCGCATTTCGGGTCCGACTTGCACCACTAACTAGTCACACAGGAGAGTGAAGGGAAGGGCGCCAGTGTATATACGAGTATATAACAGTATAAATATGAAGAAATATTTATTCCGAAGCACCAAAGGACAATATTAGTAAAGTTAGATCAATATATATGAAACTATATTAACTGCAAGACATGTTAATATTTGTGCCAGAGTGTGAAACATTTACCTGCAGCAGGACCTACCGGGAAACACTTGAAGACCTGAGACTTGGCTAGCTTGAACCTGCAGTCCTTCGTCAGTACTGGTACTGGTAGCGGCACTGTGCTCATGTACTGGGAGAACAACAATATCAACGCTATTGTTCTGAAAAAAAGTATACATTAATATTGTTAACTTATTAAACTGTTTATTCCCAAAAGCGGACATAATCGTTACGAAATTTAGGCAGAATTTATTGCAAACTTTGTGGAAAGCCTGATCCACAGCGAGGCCTGGTCATGCGCCGGGTCACGAGGCGTTGATTCCCAAAACCCCCTCCAGATACATTCTAAGTAAAGCCGTTGTTAAGCAGAAAACTTCGGGCAGACATAGCGTTGAGTTTATTGCGCTGTTACGCTGCAGAATGGAAGGGACGGAAAGGAAAAAATCTGAACACGTGAAGAAAAAAGAGGGTATTTGAGGAAGAACTCACAGGATTGAAATGCCCCAGTGTTGCGCAGCCTTGGTGGCCGCAACGTCGAAGAGTGAGAGGCCAACCAGAGTGACGGTAGGTACCACAGAGAGAGGCGTGATCCACCTCAACACTATCCCGATGATCCCTGAAACGCACACACACACAAACATTATCTCTGCAACATACACACGAGCATTATTCCTGCACCACACAGGAGCATTATCCCTGCAACACACCCGAGAATTATCTCTGCAACACACACGAGCATTATCCCTGCAACACACCCGAGAATTATCTCTGCAACACACACGAGCATTATCCCTGCAACACACACAAACGAGCATTATTTCTGCAACACACACACGCACGAGAATTATCCTTCCAAACACACAGGAGCATTATTCCTGCAACACACAGGAGCATTATCCCTGCAACACACAGGAGCATTATCCCTGCAACACACACACAAACGAGCATTATTCCTACAACACACACACACACGAGAATTATCCTTCCAAACACACAGGAGCATTATCCCTGCAACACACACACATGAGAATTATCCCTCAACACAAACGAGAATTATCCCTGCAACACACGAGAACCATCCCTGATACACGAGAATCATCCCTGTAACACACGAGAATTATCCCTGCAACACACACACGAGAATTATCCCTGCAACACATACACGAGAATTATCACTGCAACACACACCAAAATTATCCTTGCAACACACACACTAGAATTAACCCCTGCAACACACACCAGAATTATTCATGCAATACAAACAAGCACACAAAATTATCTCTGCAACACATACACACCAAAATTATTCATACAACACACAAACAGAATTATCCCTGGAATGCATACACACACATCCCTTCAACACACTTACAAGCACACAAAATTATCCTTGCAATACACACACACGAGAATTTCCCCTGCAACATACACGATAGTTATCCATGCAACACACAAGAATTATCCCTGCAACACACAAAATTATCCCTGCAACGCACACGAGAATTATCCCTGGAATGCGCACATGAGAATTGTCCATGTAATACACACAAGAATTATCCTTGCAACACACACAAGAATTATCCCTGTAACACAAGAATTATCCTTGCAACACACACGAGAATTATCCCTGCAACACGAGAATTATCCTTGCAACACACACAAGAATTATCCCTGCAACACACAAGAATTATCCTTGCAACACACGAGAATTATCCCTGCAACACACAAAAATTATCCCTGCAACACACACACGAGAATTATCCCAGCAACACACGCGAGAATTATCCCTGCAACACACACGAGAATTATCCCTGTAACACACACAATAATTATCCCTGCAACACACACGAGAATTATCCCAGCAACACACACACATACGATCTATACATAGCTTTAAGAAGAGGTATGATAAACTCATGGAGCAGGGAGAGAGTGGACCTAGTAGCGACCAGTGAAGGGGCGGGGCCAGGAGCTATGAATCTACCCCTGCAACCACAATTAGGTGACTACGAGCGAGGCAGTGTAGTTAATCGGTGCTCCAGGTATTTAGTGCTGTAGTTGCGTTCCTAGGATAGTGTCAGTGGTTATTGTGTGTCACAGAGTCGGTGAATATACCTACAAGACTTTAATAAGGTTTCCAGAGCATGAAAAATGTGATAAGGTCAAATAATTTAAGATTTAAAATTGAACTTGGATGTTGTTGACTGGAAGGTGAGAGTCAGCTGGTCAGTGTTGCTGGCGGCTGTGTTGACACTAAAAGTGATAAAATAATCAATTATTAACAACAGATCAAGATTGTTACCTAAATAAAAAGAAGTGTAAATATCTGGTCATTGATAAGGCGATTAATGAGGGATTTGAAAAAGAGAGATAAAGCCAAGTAACCATAATCTCCAGCATTTGATGTTGTCAGATGTGAGGGGAATATAGTAAATATCTGGGTATTACTGGGATTTTCTGTCAGAACTGTAATGTATGATAAGAAGAGCATAATAAGATAAGTGATATAGACATCGGACGACATGATCAGAAGTCAATAAGAAGGATCTAACTCAGATGTGACTCCAAACATCGATGTCTCATCTATATCTGGAAACAATATGGTCAGTGTTTTGTTTTTTGTCTCCTTCAGCTGGTTGTGTAGGATCACTGTCTCTCCCTATCTTTAATCACTCCCCCTATCTTTGATCACTCTCTCCCTATCTTTGATCACTCTCCCTATCTTTGATCACTCTCCCTATCTTTGATCACTCTCCCTATCTTTGATCACTCTCCCTATCTTTGATCACTCTCTCCCTATCTTTGATCACTCTCCCTATCTTTGACCCCACTCTCCCTATCTTTGATCACTCTCTCCCTATCTTTGATCACTCTCCCTATCTTTGATCACTCTCCCTATCTTTGATCACTCTCCCTATCTTTGATCACTCTCCCTATCTTTGATCACTCTCTCCCTATCTTTGATCACTCTCCCTATCTTTGACCCCACTCTCCCTATCTTTGATCACTCTCTCCCTATCTTTGATCACTCTCCCTATCTTTGATCACTCTCCCTATCTTTGATCACTCTCCCTATCTTTGATCACTCTCTCCCTATCTTTGATCACTCTCCCTATCTTTGACCCCACTCTCCCTATCTTTGATCACTCTCTCCCTATCTTTGATCACTCTCCCTATCTTTAACCACTCTCCCTATCTTTGATCACTCTCTCCCTATCTTTGATCACTCTCCCTATCTTTGATCACTCCCTATCTTTAATCACTCTCCCTATCTTCGAGTGCCAGGGGATAAATAAGGGGCAGCCTTAATAGAATATTAGTAAGTCATTAAGATAACTAATTAATCAGAATTAATTTTGCAGTAGACGGGCAGTGATGTGTGTAGTTGTGTCCTTAAAGGATCTAATATACGCTAATAACCAATATAATAATTATTATTACACATAATTAAAAAATGCTTCAGAAAAGTGGAGTAGCAGCCTAACATAACATAAACAGTGACTAAAAAACATGGGCAGTGCTGAGTGTATCTATGACTGTTTTTCAAATATATCACGTGTATCAGTAAATAATATAATAATTGTTGGTACATACTTAATCCAGAATAAAGTGGGTGATAATTGTAATAATATATTTCAAAAGAGTGGTGGAGCCTAGCGTAATATAAAGTAATTTACTAGTGGATCATGTTGAGAGTACTGTGAGTGTTTTAATAAATATCTCGTGTACACCAGTATTATAATAGTCACTGTTAATTAGGAATAGAGAGAATTCTAAACACCTTGAAGAGTTGTATAGCGTAGCCTACATGAAGTAACCAGGCGCCCCCTCCCTTTCTCAAAGACAGACACACGCGCACACACATAAGAACATAAAGAAGGAACTGCAACAGGCCTGCTGAACCATGCGGAGCAGGTCCATGTCCCCCCCCCGGCACCAGACCCAGCAGCACAAGCTAGTCAGGTCCAACTCACACCCACTCATGTATTTATCTAACCTATCTTTAAAACAACGTTTTAGCCTGAATAACTGTACTTGGGAGTTTGTTCCACACATCCACAACTCTATTACCAAACCAGTGCTTTCCTATTCCTTCCTGAATCTGAATTTTTCCAACTTGAAACCATTGTTGCGAGTCCTGTCTTGGCTGGAAATTTTCAGCACGCTATTTACATCCCCTTTATTTATTCCTGTTTTCCATTTATACACCTCCATCATATCCCCCCTAATTCTATGCCTTTCGAGAGAGTGCAGATTCAGGGCCCTCAGTCTATCCTCATAGGGAAGATTTCTGATACATGGGATCATATTTGTCATCCTCCTCTGTACGTTTTCCAGAGCATTTATATCCATTCTGTGATACGGTGACCAGAACTGAGCAGCATAGTCTAAATGAGGCCTAACCAAGGATATATAGAGTTGAAGAACAACCTGAGGACTTCTATTATTTATACTTCTAGATATGAAGCCAAGAATTCTGTTAGCTTTATTGTGAACACTAATGCACTGTTGTCTTGGTTTTAGATTACTGCTAACCAGAACTCCTAAATCCTTTTCGCAATCAGTAGTATTAAGATATGCATTATTTAGTTTATATGTGGTATGGTTATTTACCTGTCCAACATTTAGAACTTTGCATTTGTCAATATTAAACTGCATCTGCCACTTCTCCGACCATTGCATCAGTCTATTCAAATCATCCTGGAGTGCTCTAGTGTCCTCATTAGAATGAATTGGACGGCCTATTTTGGTGTCATCAGCAAATTTGCTTATGTTGCTATTTATTCCCTCATCTATGTCGTTTATGTAAATTGTGAACAACAACGGGCCCAACACTGACCTCTCAGGAACACCGCTTGTGACGTGCCCCCATTCTGATTTCTCCCCATTTATGCAAACTCTGCTGTCTATTTGTCAACCATGCCTCTACCCAGGAAAAAATTTCTCCTCCTATTCCGTGTGCCTTAAGTTTCCTCAATAGCCTCTGGTGTGGAACTCTATCGAAAGCCTTACTGAAGTCCATATACACAATATCATATTCATTACCATGATCTACCTCCTCAAACACCTTAGTGAAAAAAGTTAGTAAATTCGTAAGACAGGAACGCCCCTTTGTAAAACCGTGTTGAGATTCATTAATCAATCTGTGCCTATCAAGATGGCTACGAATTGCTTCGGCAATTATTGATTCCATAAATTTTCCCACTATGGAGGTAAGGCTTATTGGCCTACGCACGTCCACACACGCACGTACACACACACGCACGTACACACACACGCACGTACACACACACGCACGTACACACACGCACGTACACGCACGCACACACGCACGCACACGCACGTACACACGCACACGCACGTACACACAAGTACACACGCGCACGTACACACACACACACACACACACACACACACACACACACACACACACACACACACACACACACACACACACACACACACACACATCTCTCCATGGGTCCTGAGAGAGGGAGCAGAGGCGCTATGTGTACCCCTAACAACAATATTCAATACATCTATCGAAACAGGGAGATTGCCTGAGGCATGGAAGACAGCAAATGTAGTCCCAATCTTTAAAAAAGGAGACAGACATGAAGCACTAAACTACAGACCAGTATCACTGACATGTATAGTATGCAAAGTCGTGGAGTAGATTGTCAGGAGAAGAGTGGTGGAACACCTAGAAAGGAATGATCTCATCAACAGCAGCCAACATGGTTTCAGGGACGGGAAATCCTGTGTCACAAACCTACTGGAGTTCTATGACAAGGTGACAGCAGTAAGACAAGAGAGAGAGGGGTGGGTGGATTGCATTTTCTTGGACTGCAAGAAGACGTTTGACACAGTACCACACAAGAGATTAGTGCAAAAACTGGAGGACCAAGCAGGGATAACAGGGAAGGCACTACAATGGATCAGGGAATACTTGTCAGGAAGACAACAGCGAGTAATGGTATGTGGCGAGGTGTCAGAGTGGGCACCTGTGACCAGCGGGGTCCCACAGGGGTCAGTCCTAGGACCAGTGCTGTTTCTGGTATTTGTGAACGACATGACGGAAGGAATAAACTCCGAGGTGTCCCTGTTTGCAGATGACATGAAGTTGAGAAGAATTCATTCGATCGAAGACCAGGCAGAACTACAAAGGGATCTGGACAGGCTGCAGACCTGGTCCAGCAATTGGCTCCTGGAGTTCAATCCCACCAAGTGCAAAGTCATGAAGATTGGGGAAGTGCAAAGAAGACCGCAGACGGAGTACAGTCTAGGGGGCCAGAGACTACAAACCTCACTCAAGGAAAAAGATCTTGGGGTGAGTATAACACCAGGCACATCTCCTGAAGCGCACATCAACCAAATAACTGCTGCAGCATATGGGCGCCTGGCAAACCTCAGAACAGCATTCCGACATCTTAATAAGGAATCGTTCAGGACCCTGTACACCGTATACGTTAGGCCCATATTGGAGTATGCGTCACCAGTTTGGAACCCACACCTAGCCAAGCATGTAAAGAAACTAGAGAAAGTGCAAAGGTTTGCAATAAGACTAGTCCCAGAGCTAAGAGGTATTTCCTACGAGGAGAGGTTAAGGGAAATCAACCTGACGACACTGGAGGACAGGAGAGATAGGGGGGACATGATAACGACTTAAAAAATACTGAGAGGAATTGACAAGGTGGACAAAGACCGGATGTTCCAGAGACTGGACACAACAACACGGAGACACAGTTGGAAGCATACGCACACACGCACACAACACACACACACACAACACACACACACACAACACACAAACACACACACACGCACACAACACACACACACACACAACACACACACACACACACACACACACACACACACGTACACACACACACACACACACACACACACACACACACACAAACACACACAACACACACAACACACACACACACAACACACAGACACGAGGCATTAAACTACAGACCAGTGTCACTGACGTGTATAGTATGCAATGTCATGTAGAATATTATCAGGAGGACAGCGGTGGAACACCTAGAACGGAACAAGGCTATAAACGACAATCAGCACGGATTCATGGAAGACAAATCCTGTGTCACAAACCTACTGGAGTTTTATGACAAGGTAACAGAAGTAAGACACGAGAGAGAGGGATGAGTAGATGGCATTTTCTTGGACTGCAAGAAGGCGTTCAGCACAGTTCCTCACAAGAGATTAGTGCAAAAGCTAGAGGAACAGCCACATATAATAGGAAGGGCACTGCAGTGGATCAGAGAATACCTGACAGGGAGCCAACAACGAGTCATGGTACATGACGAGGTATCAGAGTGGGCACCTTTGACGAGCGAGGTTCCACAGGGGTCAGTCCTAGGACCGTTGCTGTTTTTGGTATATGTGAATGACATGACAGAAGGGATAGACTCAGAAGTGTCCCTGTTTGCGGATGATGTGAAGTCATGAAGATCGGGGAAGGGCAAAGAAGACCGCAGACAGAGTATAGGCTAGATGGCCAAAGACTGCAAACCTCACTCAAGGAAAAGGATCTTGGGGTGAGTATAATACTGAGCACATGTCTTGAGGAGCACATCAGCCAGATAACTGCTGCAGTATATGGGCGCCTGGCAATCCTGAGAATAGCTTTCCAATACCTCAGTAAGGAATCGTTTAAGACTCTCTACACCGTGTACGTCAGGCCCCTACTGGAGTATGCAGCAGCACCACACGAGAATTATCCCTGCAACACACGCATGAGAATTTTCCCTGCAACACGCACGAGAATTATCCCTGCAACACATGAGAATTATCCCTGCAACACACACGAGAATTATCCTTGCAACACACACGAGAATTATCCCTGCAACACACGCTCTAGAATTATCCCTGCAACACACACGCACTAGAATTATCCCTGCAACACACACGCACTAGAATTATCCCTGCAACACACCACAATTATCCCTGCAACACATACACCAGAATTATCCCTGCAACACGCCAGAATTATCCCAGAAATACACACGAGAATTGTCCCTGCAACACACCAGAATTGCCCCTGCAACACACCAGAATTAAACCTGCAACACACACACACACCAGAATTGCCCCTGCAACACACCAGAATTATCCCTACAACACCGGAATTATCCCTGCAACACACACATCAGAATTGTCCCAGCAACAAGCGCGAGAATTCTCTCTGGAATACACACACACACACACATTACGAATATTTTTATTTATTTATTTATTTATTTATAAATTTTAGCATACATACAGAGGTACAAAAAAAAAATACAGGTAAGAGCAGCATGCCAAAGCCACTTATATGCATAGCATTACGGGCTGGCTTAAAATTAACTTAAGATTAACTAAGCAATGATGAAATCAGTGATAAGACATTATTGTAAACAGCTAACTATAAAATACAAATGAGTATTGCAAAGACAGGTCATATGGTTGCATGTACTGCTGTTCATTCAGTAGAATGGAGTATTCTGTTAGGTAGTGTATTTAAAAAAAAAAAAAAAAAAAAAAAGTTAGGTTTAACATTTGTGTGATATAATTGTGAGTAACATTTAGGATATACAATTTATAAGGTTCAGTTATTCAGTATTTATTTGGTTTTGAGTGAGTAAGTGAACTTTGAGAAGAGACTTGAATTTATAAACAGGTAGTGTTTCTTTTATATTTACAGGTAATGAATTCCAGATTTTAGGGCCTTTTATGTGCATTGAGTTTTTGCATAGTGTGAGATGGACACGAGGAACATCAAAGAGTGATCTGTGCCTTGTGTTATGGTCATGTGTTCTGTTGAGGTTGGCAAGGAGATGTTTGAGGGGAGGGTTAATATCAGAGTTAAGTGTTCTATGTATGTAATAAGTGCAATAATAAGTATGGATGTTTTGTATGGTGAGTAGGTTGAGTGTTTTGAATATTGGTGGAGTGTGCTGCCTGTAGTGAGAATTTGTTATCATTCTAACTGCAGCCTTTTGTTGGGTAATTAGTGGTCTGAGATGGTTAGTTGTTGTTGAGCCCCATGCACAAATTCCATAGGTGAGATAGGAGGGCTGACTGTGGAACATAATACCGTATCTTCGATAGTATGCCTACAGTCTTGGAAATTTTCTTAGAAATTTGTTGTATATGTGTATGAAATTTGAGTCTATTATCGAGGTGGATTCCTAAGAATTTTCCCTCTGTTAGCTTTGTGATAGGTGATCTGTTTATCGTTATGTTAAGAGGTACATCTGTAGCTCTGTTACCAAACTGAATGAAGTAGGTTTTGTCAATGTTTAGTGTGTAAGTTTGTTAGTCCTCATCCAGGTAGATATTTTCTGTAATTCGGTGTTTACAGTATTGGCTAGCGTGACTGGGCTCGGGTGAGAGAAGACGTATGTAGTGTCATCTGCAAATAGTGTGGGTTTCAGTAATTGCGAAGCATTTGGTAGGTCATTTATGTATAGGAGAAAGAGAAGAGGGCCAAGGACACCTCCCTGTGGGACACCAACTGTAATTGGTTGTGCGGAAGAGCTTGCCCCATTTGCGTACACATATTGGCTTCTGTTGCTGAGGTAAGACTTGAGGTAGTTGAGGGAGTGCCCTCTTATACCATAGTGTGACAATTTTACGTGGAGCAAGTCATGGTCAACTGTATCAAAAGCTTTACGTAAGTCAATGAAGATCCCCAGTGGGACTTCTTTTTTCTCTATTGCAGTGTATATATGTTCTAGCATGTGTATAATAGCATCATTAGTATTTTTATTTAGGCCTGAATCCAAATTGGCAGGGGTTGAGAATGTTATGGGAGATGAGGTAGGAGTAGATTCGTTTATGAATTAATTTTTCGAATATTTTTGAGAGAGGGTGTAAATTGGATATTGGCCTATAGTTATTCAACTCTGTTTGGTCTCCTCCTTTATGGATCGGGGTGACCCTTGCTATTTTGAGAACTGTAGGGAAGGTGGAGGATTCAATGGATTTGTTAAAGAGTGTTGCAATGATTGGTGATAGTACTTGTGACGCTTTTTTGTATATAAAGGGTGGTAAGGTATTTAAATCTCCTGCCTTGTTTTTCAGTGCGTTGATAATAAGGGAGACTTCGTATGGGTTAGTCGGAGCTAGGAACAGTGTGTTCGGGTAGTTGCCAGTGAGGTAGTCATTTGGTGGGGTGTCTGAGCTAGGGATATTATTGGCAAGGTTTTGACCTATAGTGGAGAAGAAATCATTGAGTCTGTTTGCTGTTTCTGTTGGTGGGAGTTGGGGTTCATCAGATTTTGCTAATTTAGAATTTAATTTAGAATAACTTAGTATAACCCAGGATAACCTTTCTCCTCACCTGTGAAGCCAAGGATAATCTGGAACACCGAAGCGACAGCGATGGATCCTTGTATATCTCTGAGCCGGACCTGCCATACCTCCTGCCTGGCCGCCGCCGTCAGGTTGGCCAGGGGCAGGGCATCGCATGGCTCATACACCGTCGTCAGGAGGGCGATGGTGGGCACCACGTAGGCGAAGTCTCCGCCCTGGATGATGGGTAGCCTGGTGAAGGTGAGGAAGCGGCTTACTTTTCTTTTAGGAGCAACAGGTTTAACGAGGATAGCAACCCTCCTTCATTTATATCTGTGACGGGGGACCCTCCTTCATTGATATCTGTGAGGGGGCCCTCCTTTATTAATATCTGTGAGGGGGTCCTCCTTTATTAATATCTGTGAGGGGCTCTCCTTTATTAATATCTGTGAGGAGCCCTCTATTAATATCTGAAGGGACTTTCCATTAATATCTGCGAGGGGCCCTCCTTCATTAATAAATGAGAGGGCCCTCCTTCATTAATGTCTGAGGGGGCCTCTCCATTAATATCTATGAGGACTCCTCCATCATTAGGATCTGTGAGGGGCCCTCCTTTAGTAATATCTGTGAGGTGGCCCTCCTTCATTTTTATCTGTGAGGTGGCCCTTCTTCATTAATATCTGTGAGGGGGACCCTCCTTCATTAATATCTGTGAAAGGCCCTCCATTAATATCTGTGAGGGGCCCCTCCATTAATATCTGTGAAGGAACCCTCCCTCAACAGTACTCGTGATGTAAACTTTCCCTCAGCTAGCTTCCTCTTGGAAACCCTGCCTCAGCAGTATTGGAAACCCTGCCTCAGCAGTACCTGACGCCGAAGGTTGTCTGCAGGAGGGTGACGAGGCCTGAGTGAAAGAAGACCGTGGAGACGAGTGCTCCTCGGGCAGACTCGTCCTCAGGCATGCACAAGAACGACGCCACTATGATAGGGATCACCACAGTGCCTCCTGCCATCGTCAAGTAGTGCTGAAACGAAGCCAGGATATCATGAATAATAATATTATTGGGTATCCCCTGAGGTGGGACACCTCCAGAGGTTGTTTTCTAACACCAGTAGCAGTTATACCTTACCTGAAAGCCGAAGAATATGCATATGTACCATGGTGGGGTTTCCTCTAGCGTGTAAATTAGGTCAATGTCACCTGTTTCTTCATTCAGGAGTGGTTCATGCTTCCTGGAAGGAAACACATGGGTTTAGCGCATCTCTTATCTACTAAATATTCGTGTATATATCGTGGTTCCTGTTTTTTTTTTTTTTAAATTTCGTTTGAGGGGGATAAAGAAATGAAAGCTCAGGCGGCAGGTTCTTCGGCTCACAGCTAAATAAGCAAGGTACGAACCAGAGAGGAGTGGATAGGCTCATCTGTTGCCCCCTGCTCGCCTAGCAGTACCTAGTATGCAGCTGCCCATGCTCAGGTAGCAGTAAGTAGGTACTTTGGTGTTAGTTGACTGTTTTCTTTTTGGGGGAGGTGAGAAGGCCTAAGGACCACAAAGGAAATAAGCTAGATTGACTTGCTTGGATTATGGTAGGCTACTGACCTTTCCTCTTCTAAGTTTTAGGTGACCCGTAGCTCGAGTGCTAGCGCACTCGATCCCAGGTACGAGTGAAAACATTAGGACGTGTTTCCTTAAGACACCTACTGTCCAGTGTCACCTAGCAGTAAAAAAGGTACCTGGGTATTAGTCGACTGGTGTGGGTCACATCCTGGGACAAAATTGACCTAATTTGCCCGAAATACTCTGCATTACAAGCAGCTATCTATATAGTACTTTGTCATTGATGTCAGCTAGGATTGTATACCTTGTACATGTACTTTTAGATATAAAGATTTATTATTATTAAGTTATACATGGACAGTCAATAAAATCCTTTTTAGTTTACCTTAAAAATTCTATTTAAAGAAAAATCTCAGTAATTTCAAGTTATTTAGAGAAAATCATTTGAAGGGTTAACTTACTTATTATCACTTAGTTTGCTGGTGTCATGGGAGTCGTTTTCAGAGGCTGTCATGTTCTCTAGGGAGGGAGAATACTTAAGTTTACCTGCAGGTGTGGACATGTTGGATCTTGCTACCTGGAAAACGTTACTAATTAGTTTTTCCTGAGTGAGTTGAAGACAATGTAAAGCGTGAATGGAAACAAGACGAAGCGTATATACACTGAGAAATACATACCTTTACCTGAAGAGTTTCCAGAGTTTCATTACTCTCGGAGCCCGGCCATGAGCCAGGTTCTTCTGGTACTTGCCTGGTCAACCAGGCTGTTGCTGCTGGAGGCCCGCTGCCCCAGATATCCATCACAGCCTGGTTGATCTGGCACCTGGTAAAGATACTTGTCCAGTTTCTTCTTGAAGGCTTCTACACTTGTTCCAGCAGTGTTTCTGATATCTTCTGGTAAGATGTTGAATAGTCTGGGACCCCGGATGTTGATACAGTGTTGCCTTATTGTCCCCACCGCACCCCTGCTCCTCACTGGGTTTATTTTGCACTTTCTCCCATATCTCTCACTCCAGTATGTTATGGCAGTGTGCAGATTTGGGACTAGGTCCTCGAGTACTTTCCAGGTGTATATTCTCGTGTATCTCTCTCTCTCCTCCGCTCCAATGAGTACATGTTCAAGACTTGCAGGCGTACCCAGTAATTTAGGTGCTTTACTGGCTCAGTGTGAGCCGTAAACGATCTCTGTATTTGTTCCAGCTCTGATATTTCTCCTGCCTTGAACGGGGCCGTCAGCACTGAGCAATATTGTAAATGGGAACACTAGCGATTTGAAGAGTGTCACCATTGCTATTATTTCCCTTGTTATGAAGTTCTCAATAACCACTCCGTCATCCTCCTGGCTGTCGTGATCTTTGTCTTGTTATGGTCTTTAAAAGAAAGGTCCGCTGACATAATTATTCCCCAAGTCCTTTACGTGTTCCTTTCGTTCTATTTGATGACCCTCTTGAGTTTTGTATACAGTGTTCCTTTTGAGTTCTTCCTTCTTTCCATACCTAAGCAGCTGGAACTTGTCACCATTGAATGTCATGTTGTTCTCCACTGACCACTGGAAAACCCTGTTTACGTCTTCTTGTAATTTTTCAGTGTCCTCTACCATAGTGACTTCCATGCTTATTTTAGTGTCATCTGCAAATGATGATACAAAACTGTGACGGGTGTTTTTATCTATGTCTGCTATAAGGATGAGAAACAGCAGAGGTGCCAGGACAGTGTCTTGAGGCACTGAAGTTTTCACCTCGCTTATGCTGAATCTTGCTCTGTTTACTACTACTTTTTGTGTTGTGTGTGTTAGAAGAGGTAGATGCCTCTCAGAGTATATACACTGACAAGCTACTGTATCCCCTTTAAAGGGATCAAAACGATCTTTTTAAGGATTAAAGCATTCTTGACTGCTGGTAAACAGGTTACATGCAGTTTTAATGATCCTTGTGTACTCGATAGGCTTTAAACCCTATTAATTAACAAGGACCCCAGTAGAGATAAGTTACTTAGACTTTTTTGGGTTATCTTGGGTAATTTACGCTAGGTATGATAATTGTATATATGCGTACATGTACGTAAATAAACTTACAAATAAATCATTCTTCACGGCCTTCTTTTAGAAATTCGTGACTATCTTCTTTTACGACAGCTTAACTATATGACCCAAGTACGTTTGACGCTTAGTTCTGATTATCATAATAATACGTAATTAAGAAAGTTTATTCACGAGAGCTTAGTGAAAGAGAGAATGTAAGCAAATCTGTTCAGAGTTCCGCAAGGAGTGTGTATTGATGTGTCTGCATGACGCCTGAATGAACGCTGCCTCTTACTGGTTTTTTTTCCTAGCCTCGCAGGTTTGCCTGAGGTCACAGTGCCTGATCAGTCAGGCTTTTGTTGCTGGCAGCCCGCACGTAGGTCTGAATAGACCTACGTGCGATATGACTGGAACCTTGAGGCCGACTGGAACCTTGAGGCTGACTGGAACCTTGAGGCTGACTGGAACCTTGAGGCTGACTGGAACCTTGAGGCTGACTGGAACCTTGAGGCCGACTGGAACCTTGAGGCCGACTGGGTAATACGTTATCGAGGTGAATGATATCAAGTTGAAAATTGTAGGAAGAGAAACGAGGGATTGAGGGATCCAGGCATAACTAAATATAATATATGCTAGTGAAGACTCATAACACGCAGGAGCTGTATGTGTGTGTGCGTGTGTGTGTGTGTGTGTGTGTGTGTGTGTGTGTGTGTGTGTACTCACCTAATTGTGGTTGCAGGGGTCGAGACTCAGCTCCTGGCCCCGCCTCTTCACTGATCGCTACTAGGTCCTCTCCCTCTCTGCTTCCTGAGCTTTGTTATACCTCTTCTTAAAACTATGTATGGTTCCTGCCTCCACTACTTCACTTGCTAGGCTATTAACTATCCAGATCAGCCTGTGTACCCGTACCGGACCCACAGCACCACCACCCGCGCAGGGCGCCTCCACACGCCTCCACCATCACCCCCCCACTGCCCGGTAAAGCTCCCGTGAAGACCTCCCCTGATGCTGCTCCTCCGTCTTGCGCAGTGCGACACTCGGACCACACTTGGCGTTCTTCAGTCCCGTATCAAAAAAAGAGTAAGGAGGTATGAGTAGACCTTCCCAGAGCCTTGAGTCGATGTGTGCATTCCGACAGGGCTCCTCCATGCTGCTGAAGACCTCTTGAATCTGAAGGAACTGGACCACCTAACCCCTCTTTCCTTTCCTTGCGGTTTTATCTCTTCACCACTCCGGAAATGATAATGTGTGTCTTGAGAGCTACGGAGCAAGTTATGGAGAATGTGATTTCGTCTGGCGGATGTTTAATAGCCTCTGTGTTAGGATTTACGTTCGCTTTTTTTTTCAGACGTCTAAAACTCTGATTTTAGTAGATCTGTTGTAACATGGGAATTTTCTTTATCCTTGTTTGTCAAAAGCAATGTTGCATTTAAATCGCCTTTGCCAATCAGGCACAGGCGATTTAAATGCCAAACAACACACACACACCACACGCACAAAATCACGCACTCAGGCAGTGTTTACAACCGTAGTTATTTAGCAGTACGAAACATAGGAAGCCTAGAAAGTCCTCTCTCAATGTAAAAAGGAAAATGATAATAACCAGCAACAATTAATACGTAAATCCAGAATGGGCAATAAGTAGAGAGAGTTACATAATTGGAAAGATATAATGAGACTAAATTTGTGCCAACACGACGGATCTTTCAACCACACAACTACCCCCCCTAACCTCCCTCCCTCCACACATAAGCACCACACACACAAGGGAGACACCTCACATCACGACACACACTAAGGGTAGACACACACACTCCTCACACTCACACCCACACACACACACATCACACACACACACACACACACACACACACACCACACACACACATACACATACATACATTAAACACATACACACACAAAACACACACACACACACACACACACACACACACACCACACACACAACACACACACAACACACACATAACAAACATAACACATACACACACACACACACACACACACACCACACACACACCTACCACACACACACACACACACACACACTACCACACACACCACACACGCACACAACACCACAACACCACACACACCACACACACACCACACACAACAGCACCACACACACCACACACACTCACCACACACAAACACAAACACAACACACACACACCACACACACACACACACCACACCACCACACACACACACCACACACACACACACACACGACACACCACACACACCACACACGACACACACACCACACACACACACACACAAACCCACACATCCTCCACCTCTTGACGACAAACACATGACACAAACACGTACTCCCCACCTCCCTAACCACCTCTCCCCCTTTCCCTAACTACCTCACCTTAGCCACCTAACCCTCCCCCAAACCACCTAACCCTCCAAACCGTCCTAACCCCCCCAACTACCTCTCCCTCCAAAAACCATCCTCCCCCTCCCCCATAACCATCCATCCCCTCTCTCCCTCAAACCATCTAACCCCCTCCCCCAACTATCTCTACCCCTCCAATAACCATCCCCCCCTCCCCCACAACCATCCATCCCCTCTCCCTAACCATCTATTCCCTCCCCCTAACCAGGATGAGGACAAGGGGCTCCAAGGACGAATCAGGGAGGAGGAATTGGTGTAAGAGCCTCAAAACAAAGGGAGGAAGACTGGGAAGAGACTAGATGAGCTGGAAAGGAAGATGGAAGAGAGGTAGCAGCCAGAATGCAGAAGGTGAAGCAACAGGCCCCAGCAGCTGAAATCAAGATAAGATATTAGAAGAGACGTGAGACATCTGAAACACACAAAGATATCACAGAAGTACATCGGCATGGCCTAATCAAACACAGACAACAGTCTGAAGGAATCCTGGAAACTAAACTGTATGCAGAGGTCCTGTCAAACCACATGGGGCCAAAACAAAGACAGGAGCACACTAGGACAGAAATGGAGGTTGTAAGACAATGAAGGAACTAGGACATGGGGGCAAGGACCTTACCAGATACCTGTGGGGGCCAGGAGCAGGAGAAGCAGGAAGGATGAAACCAAGGGGGAAGCAGAGGGCAATACTAGGGAAGGACTGAAGAAGGAACACATCCACGGGAAGGAACTAAAACACATCAGAGGATGCAATGGGAGTCATCAGTGGGAGGGAAAGGGAAAGATCCGTGTTTTGCTATTGGCTAGACGAAGCAAAGGGGAACTTATGATGGAAGAAAGCAGGAGGAGGAAAAAGCCGATTGAAGACATCATGAATGTGATAGCGAAGGGTGACATGACTCAGGGTGGGCAAATTTTCGGAGAATTTGGGTGGTTCACAAAGAAAAGGAATCGGCTCCTCAAAGTAATTTTCAAGCAAATCAACCCAAGCATGATCCTGCAGGAGAAACACGGTTGGAGGGCGCAGGAGTTCCGGAGTGTGGTACCTCGATCGAGACGAACACAGGACGAAGGAAGACAATGAAAAGAGAGAAGTTCAAAAACGAAAGGAGAAATGGGAGGAAATGGATAAGGAGAGCAGAATAATCCAGATCAAATGAAGGACAAGTGCAACCCCCCAGAAACACCTGCAGAAGGACTCCAGCCACGACACCCCAAGGCAACTGAAACAATCCAAACCACCATCACACACCGATCCCTCTGTTTCCACCCCCCCGCACCACAGTTACAGTATTAGAAACAGAAGTTTGAAGGTGTTGGTACACAATGCAATGGGATTAACGAATAAACAAGAGGAATGGCAGAAGAAATCAATGAGAAGTCCCAGACATCATAAGCAGTTACTGAAACAAAAACCATGGAGACAATAACAGATGCAATCTTCCCACCAGGATACCAAGATCATGAGATAGATAGAAGGGGACAGGGGGGAGGTGGGTTGCTCAGCTCGTAAAAAACAGATGGAATTTCGAGAAAATGGAA